ACCTTTTCAAAAACATTACAAAATAGCCACCTTCATAGCAGAAACAGTGCACACTTTGTAACAAGTGTAATGGCTTCTTTCAGGGTCACTCCTCCAAAGCAGCTAATCTCACTAAAATGTATCTTTAGCATTTAGCATCAACAGCCCGACCTTTGTTTGTGACACTGTTTGAGACCACATTAGCATCTGCAGTGACAGTGAAAAAGTTGGTTTTAAAGAGCCAATATTACGCTATTTTCTGATCTGATCTATGTTATAATGTTGTTTCCTCGTCACAAACATACCTGGACTTTTGTTTTTTTGTTTCAGTCATACATTTTTAACACAAAAAACCAACATGTTTAGGCTGAGTTCTTCTCTCAAACAGAAAACACTTCCACCTTATGACGTCATATGGTAATACAGGAAGTGCTCCACTGTGTTTTTAAACTCCTTATACCTGTACTAGAATCATATGGATCAAATCAGTCCTGGAATTGCCAATCTCTACTGAACAAAAGTTAAAAGGTAGCTGTTAACTTGAAAACTACCACTCCATGACATCACAAGGTGGAACAGAACATTTTGGGCTAAAACAAAACACAATTCTAGGTGTTTTTTGACAGTTAACAAAACTATGACATTACTGATATTTGTGACATTTGGTCATATATTAACAAGACAAGAAAGGCGAAGCTCTCGATTTACCGGTCAGTCTACGTTCTTACCCTCACCTATGGTCATGAGCTCTGGGTAATGACCGAAAGGACAAGATTGCGGATACAAGCGGCCGAAATGAGTTCCTCCGCAGGGTGGCTGGGCGCTCCCTTAGAGATAGGGTGAGGAGCTCAGTCACACGGTAGGAGCTCGGAGTAGAGCCGCTGCTCCTTCACGTTGAGAGGAGCCAGTTGAGGTGGCTTGGGCATCTGTTCCAGATGCCTCCTGGACATGACCTCTGGGCATGTCCCACCGGGAGGAGGCCCCGGGGAAGACCCAGGACACGCTGGAGGGACTATGTCTCTGGGCTGGCCTGGGAACGCCTCAGGGTCCCCCCGGAAGAGCTGGAGGAAGTGTGTGTGGAAAGGGAAGTCTGGGAGTCCCTGCTCAGACTGCTGCCTCCGCGCCCCGGATAAGCGGAAGAAAATGGATGGATGGATAGATGGATGGATTAACAAGACCTGTAATACAATGAAGAGGTGGGAAGTTGCAAGTCGTGACTTGGACTCGAGTCAGACTTGAGTCACTATTTTTAGGACTTGAGACTTGACTTGATAAAATGGACTAAGACTTGTGTTACGGCCACGTGCCTCCAGCTCCTCCTGTGTGTGTGTGTGTGTGTGTGTGTGTGTGCAAGCCTCCATATCCAGACCCCCTGCTGTGATTGGGTGAATTTGATTTAAGATGGCACCTGGATCCCCTCCTGCTGATTGGTGGAAGCCGTATCACCTGGCCAATCCTGGGCCTACACCTGGAGGACCAGCCCTAAAAAAGGAGCCGCCCCCTTCCACTCAGGGTAGCTGTTCTGTCTGTGGACTTGCCTGCCACCATTGTCGTGTCTCTTGGTGTATTTTGTTTGCGACACTAGAGTCCTTGTAACTTAGAGACTGGTTTTGTTTTTGTGTTGTCATTTTGTATACTTTGTTTTTTTAGTCTACTTTAGTTACTTCCATTTTGCTACTCTGTTTAGAGCCTCTTTTTGTTAATTATTTGAAATATCATCTTTTGTTAGCTTCACCTTAACAATTCTTTTAATAAATAAATCACAACTTTATTTTTACCATTTCTACATCTTGGTTATTTTGTTACTTCCCCCTGTCTCTAGCAGAGCTGGGTCGTAACACTTGGGACTCAACTTGGACTTGAAGGTCAGTGACTTGGGATTTAACTCAGACTTGATGCTTGTGACTTGAGAAGCTCTTTTAAACCTGAATTATTTCTGTTCTGACCATAATGATTCACTCTAAGATCCTGTCAAGACTTTTAAAAAAGGAAAACTAAACTAAACTAAATTAATTTGTACAACTCTATAAATACTCACATATAAATATACTATGCTTTTTAAAAATATAATTTATCTTAAAAGTCATATAAATTCCAAAAATCTAAGCTATATTTGGTGCTTTGGTTTAAAGACTTGAAATGATTAGAATCTCAAAGCAGACGACTTGGACTTGACTTGGACTTATGGACCAGTAACTCGAGACTCGACTTGGACTTGCCTGTATTTGACTTGGGACTTGACTCGGACTTGAGGTCAAAGACTTGAGACTTACTTGAGACTTGCAAAACAAAGACTTGGTCCCACCTCTGATACAATGTAGGGAGCACAAGGGTAATTGTTAAGTTTTAGTCCATCATGTGTATTTTTAAAAGATATAATTATAGTTTTGATGGGCCACAAATCTAGATAAAGGAACTTCATGTACAGTTTTGATTTTAAAGGAGCACTCTGCAACTTTTCTGGAGGGACGCACAACCTGTTTGTCTCCATGGACATGTTAAAGGTGCATTGTGTAACTTTTCTGGTGCTTTTCTTCATGGAGATGTTATTGCTCTGTCTCGAATGTCTCACAGTATGAAAGTTGCAGGTCGAATCTGTGGAAAGGCAACCCCGCTCACAGGTATTCTAGGCATTTTTGTGCTATAAAATCACCTGTAACAGAATGTAAATGTAAGGCAGAGGTGTTAAATGTCATACTGTGGAACATTCCAGGCAGAGCAATGACATATCTAGAAATAAGATGGTGACAGACCCCAAACAAAAAAGTAACATAGTGCACTTTTAAAGGAACTGTCCACAAATTTTTTATTTTAAAGGTGCACTGTGTAACTTTTTAGCCTGATTCATCAGCCAGTTTTACTTTGTGGAAACCGTCTGACCTCGCAGCATTAGGATTTGTTTGCTTGACGGTAGCCGGATACTTTTTGAAATTAACTAATCGCTGCTATTTGGTCGTGACATATGTAATTCACCAAATCCCGTAGGAAGAAGAGCAATAACGTCTTTCCTCTTGATAAAATTCACCAGTTTTTTTGTTCCGGCTTTAAATCCTTGTCCTCAGGAATCGTTGCCAACACAGAATGTATGGCTTCATCTACATCCATCTCGACCGCTTTGTTTACTGTTGTGCTGTACCACAAAAGGGGCCCAGACAGGTGCTTGAGTTTGACGTCATGGCTTCACGGCTCTTCGTTGATTGGCTGATGCATGGTCTACAACTTCTGGGGTTCTTGCAAACCGTCTAGTGTATTCCAATTCCTGACCTAGTCGCTGGAAAGAAATGAAATTGAGTGGAGGCACTAGGTGGTGGCAACCTGTTTGTCTCCATAAAGATGTTAATACTTTTGTTTCAATTGTCCACAGTTTGGTATTAAATTAATCTGTCTTGCATTTATCCAACTACATGTGTTATTTATTGTTCAAAATATCTTAAAAAACATTCATTCTTACTGTGAGCGGGGTCACCTCTCCACAAATCTAACCTGTATTTTGGATTGCAAGTGGAATCCAAGTCGAGTTTACCAGTTTATCATCAGAAAAGTTACACAGTATATCTTTAATCAATGCCTTTGCTGCAATATATATGTTTTCCATATACAGAGATAAATAAAAATGTATTCGTGTCCCAGTTTTAGGGACTGGCAAACCATGTTCAGTTCTGATTATAAGAGCACAGGCTACATATATTTTCCTTCAAAATGGTGTTTATGTTCCTTCTCATTCATACAGGCTCAGGATATGCAGGCATGGACTCGCCTCCCCAACTAACAATGGAGCTATAAGAGTTTCCCCAAGCAGCAATTCAAATGGGAGTCCAACCAGAAGTGCTGTGTTATGCTTAAACCACGTACTGCACTGAACAATGACTTTGAACAGTATCCCTTCATCTAGGTCTCACTACTCTAGTCTCTTGAAGTAGTGAATAGGTGGAAATGTAGTCTACCGACTGTCAATATAAACATATGTACTGCAGTAATGTAGTTGCGCCCCTGCCCAGAAACGCCTGATAAGAGCTACCAGGAAGTCTTAGTGAAATTACAAGTGGGAATAGTCTTCAAGTTGTTTCAGGTTGCTAATGTGTTTTGAGTTCAACAAAACAAACCACAACAAAGATCCTATATTTCACAAAATGGACTTGTGTGAGCTTTAAGGCATGTTATAATAATGTTACCTCCTCAAAAATATATCTGGATTTGTGTTTAGTTTCGCTCACACATTTGAGTAACGCATTATTATTATTGTTATTATTACTCTGTCTACATCTCCAAAGCTCAGTTGATTCTAGTGAAGGTCTATGGAGTTTAAAAACACAGTGGAGCACTTCCAGAAGTTTTTTCTGTTTGAGAGAACTCCAAAATGTGCATAGTTTGTGTGTTAAACATGTGCAAATGAAGCAATACAAAAGTCCAGGTATGTTTTTGATGAGGAATTAACTTAAAAAAGTGTAATATGGGCCCATTAAACTAGCCAGGCTGGTGCCACCTAGTGCCTCCGCTCAATTTCATTTCTCTCCAGCGACAGGTCAAGAATTGGAATACACTAGACATTTTGCAAGAACCCCGGAAGTTGTAGACCGCGCACTGGCCAATCAGAGAAGAGCTGAACCAACCCGAGTTGTGATAGCAGACTGCAAATGCTATTCTCCTGTGGACTTCCTCTGCCAAATATAAACTTTGCATTTTTTGTTGCACCTTTAATTCGCAAGTTCATTTTGCAGAAACGACAATGATCGCTGACAGACATGTTCACTCTCTGCTTTGTTTGCTGTTGTGCCGGCAGTTACTTGGACAACACTGAGTGTTCTGGTGCATTACATACATCATGGCCAAATAGCAGCGATTGGTTAAATTAAAAAAGTACCTGCCTACAGTCGAGCGAACAAATCCTAATGCTGCGAGGTCAGACCACGAAGTGAAACCAACTCATGAATCAGGCTACCATTACACAGTGACATGCTGAAAATTGGATTACATTTCTATAACAATAAAAACTACAATATCACGTCTTAAAAACAGCCCACAACAGACAAACTTTCATTTATTTACACCATTATTTAACACATGTATTTGATTATGTCATAACCTAGCACAGATTTGCTGAATACCTGATGTTTTGTAAGACTTCAGACATTCAGTTTCAATGCAACATATAAACAGGCAAGAGGTAAACATTTTTATCAATTTTTGTATAGCCAAGCAACACTACTACTACTACTAGTTTAATTAACTTCAATGAGAACAGTTAATTCATGTTTATATATATATATATTTATAAAAAAAATCAAATCCAGAAATACAAAGCTGCAAACCAAGTGCCCACCATCACTTGCTTCCTTCAAAGTCCTTTGACAGTGTAAAACTTCCTTTTCAAACAGTTCATAGTTGAAATATAAAAGACAATGCCAGTAGAAAGAGTAAGGACATAAAACTGGAGCGTAGTACATCCCCATCTGAGCATTCCACCATCTTATCTGTCAAAAAAGAGAAACAAGAAATAAGTTTAAAACATTGTATAGGGTTTAAATATCGTAATAATTGTATCTATTTGTGACAGTTATTGGTAATATGTTATAATATAATAATTACATTTTAATTTGCCTTAATAAAGCGTGAACTAAAACTCAATTCCAAACACTAACAAAGATTTTATTAAGAATGAGTCAGACTTAGTACTCCCTAGACCTAACTTGTAACCTTAACCCCTTAATTAAAGGTCCCATATTACACAATTTTTGACTCCTGAGCTCTAAGCCATGTTATCCAAAGCTCAAAATGGTCTGTTCCACCTTGTGATGTCATGAAGCTGTAGTTTTCAAGTTACCAGCTACATTTTACCTTTTTTTTTTTTTAGTAGAGATAAGAGATTCTAGGGCTGAAATTATCCATGAGTCTGAAGATTATCAATGAGTCTGGGGAAGGTGTACGGAGTTTAAAAACACTGGGATGCGCTTCCTGTATCACCACATGACATCACAAGGGGGAACAGAGTGTTTTCTGTTTGAGAGAAGAGCTCAGCCTAAACATGCAGAGTTTGTGTGTTTAACATGTGTGAATGAAACAAAAGACAACTCCAGGTATATAACATAAATCAGAAAATAGCATGATATGGGCCCTTTAAGAAATTACTAAGACTTAATTATTTTTAGTTAATGAACAGATCATTATGAGTAATATTATATTTTAACCAATACATTTTTGGTAATATTAAATTAAAACTTTTGGACCTTTGGACAGAACACTGTTCTAAGAAGTTATAGTCATAGTAAAGATGATACATGATTACACAATCTGGGTATAACTGAGTGTGTGAAACGTCATTGCAGAGGAGGGCCTGAACAATAATATTTAGACTTGACTTAACTCTCCTCCTACAGCTCTCCAAAACAGGCATAGGCCAAAAAAAGAGGGAGAGAGACCAAAAGAGATACAGAGAAAGATAGAGAGAGATATAAGAGTGGAAGAGGGAGAGAGAGGAGGAGGAGGAGGAGGAGGAGGAGGGGAAGCCAGGATACTTTTTCCTCGTCAGGCTAAACAAGGCAACCCGCCTCCCTGTGTTCCCATGACGCAGTACTCCTACGTATTACACACATCACGTGTCAGAGAGACTGCATCCATCTGCGTCTTTAGTCATTGTCTCGCAACAAACTGTCATCACATGTTCGTGATCTGTGCCACGATAAATGTACAGCTTTACTTAAATAAACACTCTATGCAAAATTGAAAACATGTGCTTTTTCATCACTTTCAATGGATTTCATCACTTTCATCACTTTCACTTGGATTTGGCCAGTGAAACCTGGTACTGGCAAAAATGTTTGGGGATGTGGACTTGGCAGCGTGGCGACTGACAACACAGAGCTCACAGAGAATTTACTTAATAATAACAACCATGTAATAGTGTTGAAGTCAAGACCGCACTAATCGAGACCATTACCTGTCCGAGACCACAGGGTCCCAAGGCCAGGATAAGACCAAGACCTCTGAGGGCTGAGACCGAGACAAGACCAAGACTTTTAAAAGCCGAGACCTAGACAAAGACTGAGGCCATGGCCCATTGAGACCAAATCGAGACCAACTTTGTGACTTATTTTGGCACATATATATCAATGTTTTAATAAATCTATCTCAATTTTATCACATGTCGAATGTCAGACCTTGAGACAGAGACAAAACCGAGTCTAAGTGCTTTCAAGACTGAGACAAGACCGAGGACAAACGCCTTCAAGACCGAGAAAAGTCCAAGTCCAAGCACCTTCAAGACCAAGAAAAGACCAAATACAAATGCCTTCAAGACCAAGACAAGACCGAGTCCAAGCACCTTCAAGACCAAGAAAAGACCAAGTCCAAACACGGTCAAGTCAGAGACAAGACCTAGACTGTAAAAGAACAGTTTGCCACCTTGTGTTACCTGAAATGTTGGCATTAAACTTGCATCAAACCTTACATCTAATCATTTAGCAGGTGTTTACTGTGAATGGGCTCGCCTCTCCACATATCTGACCTGTAACTTGCCCTGGTGGAATAGCTGCTTGTATCCATGGAGATATACTGTATGTTTAATCCCATACTATGGAACATTCCAGACAAAGCGTGGACGCCTCCACAGAGATGAGCAGGTGGCAGATCCTCCACATGAAAAGTTACATAATGCACATTTATGGGTGAGTGAACTTTAAAAACACACAGGAGCACTGCCTTTGTAAATATATAACATTACAACTGCAAAACATATAAAAACAACAATATCAACCTTGTAAAAAATAACCACCTACCTGAAATCTTTTGTATTTCCGGTACTACTGTGGTCCAGAAACGGCATTCGCGGGCTTTTAAATGACTTCTTATTTCTGGATGTTGGTAGTTTAGGGTGACGTACTCCATCTTATCTTCTGTGAACTGGGGCCACTCAGCACCACCAATGCTGGGATTCCTGCCCAAAACATGAAGATATTAAAGGTCCTACACCTGATTTGATCCATTCTGCTTTGAAAAATGCTCATAAATTGGTTGAGGAGTAACTCTGGACCACTGCAAACTGTTTGGAGGTTGGACTACTCATTTGACTGAGATAATTATATTCAAGATTTTACTGAAGAAATTACAATAGCTTCCCCAATTTGGCAATGCTTTTAGGTTTCAAATTGTACTTCCTGGTGGAAAATCATGACCTCACAATAGGGAATTGTGTTACCCAGCAACCATGGGTCACACTGGGCCAAATTCCTCTAATGTACACAGGAATTAATATTTGATCATTAAAAAGATAAGAATTTCATTTTCAACAGTGTTCAAAAATTGCTTCTTGATCGGTTTGAAACTAAGATTTATATTTACAACAGGTATTATTCCAGCAAATTAGAAATTAGGCTACGTTCAGACTGCAAGGCTTAATCGTTCATTTTAGATTTTTTTGTGAAATCCGATTTTTTTTTGAGGTCGTTCACATTTCCAATTAAATGTGACTTGTATGTGATCTCCAGTGTGAACGCCCCAAAAGTGTCTGGCATGCGCAATGGAGGACACAACGACCTAAACACTCGGCTTGTCCCCCAAAATACAGTCCAGTTCTTTGTAAAATGGACAGGTTACACGTCCACAGCCTCTTTGTTTGTTTGAGTCTTTAGCCTCCTTGTATTTGGCTCACAGGCTCTTTATTTTTTTGTTGATACTGGAGCCAGGACCGCCTGTAGCTGCATTCGGTCATTTCTTTGGAAATTCATTTCAAAAACACACCCGGTTCCGATAAAACCCCTCCAATTTGGCCTGAATACAGCGATCCTCCCAAATATTAGTAAACTCGCTAACCTCACTTTCCCTCCACTGACTAAACTCCGAGACTGACGTGTAAGTCGGATGAGTGACCTGGCTGTTCAAACTGAAGTCGCAAGTCAAAAAATTTGGATATGTATCGGTTTTAGGACCATATATCCAAAATTTGAAAAAAATCAGATCTGTGTCGCAGGGGTGAAAAAAACAGATTTGGATCACTTCAGGTTGCAGTCTGAACGTAGCCTTAGAGAATTGAAAAAAGCTGTACTACGCACTTTAAACTTCAAATTATTAAGACAGTACAAAACTTTTACAACACCTTTAACCCAAACTGTAAGGAATGTGTTATTCTAATTATTATGAGTTTTTGTTTCATTTACCCTGTCTTAGCAAAGTTCGCCCAGTGCTTCATAAGCTTTCTGGTCATGTTGATTTCGTTCTTTGTGTATCCCAGGGATGTGTTCAGGGGCATCCCGAAAATGAACTCGATCTCATAGCCATGCATGACGCCCATCCACTCAGGCCAGGGGTTGACCGAAGAGCGGTGGTCGAACCAGTAGAGGAAGGAGCTGCACCCATGTCGAGAATACCTACAGAAACAATCAGAATACATTTGTTTTATCAATAACTTTTCTCACACACTGATTTGCAGATATTTAAAAAAAAAAAAAAGTCTCTATTTAGCTGAAATGGAGAAATACATTGAAAATGGCCCTGATAGTATGACTTCTTTGAATATGTTGGATTAGATTGAGTACTTTTTCCAGTTTTAACCACAAAAAGTTAAAGATCCTGTATCCAATTGTAATAAGGAAGTGCACATTAGCATGCTAGTTGTGATGAATTGAGCCTATAAACTCATTGTGGTGAATAATTAGGATGCTCAGAATGCATAAGGTAAGTTAGGAATGTTTTTTCATGTTTTAAATACAGTAAACATCAGTCACAGTAATATTAATGCACTAACCACTGAATCATTGTGTATCTGAGAGTGTTAAATGAACTCACTTGTGAATAAATTCCAGGACTGGGCAAAGAAACATGTAGTCTCCATACAAGCTGCTCATGTGGTCTCTGTTCTTGGTCATATTGTTCTCATCCATCCAGTCGGTGTACTCGTAGATGGCTGCTTCCCTAACGGCTGTCCCATCTTTAGGCAGGATGACGGGAATGCCCTGGAGGAACTGGGCTCTGGAGATGAGGCTCTGCCCATTCAGGCTAAACCCAGGCGCACCATACGGGAGGAAGTAGCTCCCCTCATTTTGGTTTACGCCGATGAGGAGGTCTTTCTTTGGGAGGTTTTTGCTGCTCAACATATCCTGTTAGAATGACAGACAATTTATTTATTTTTTATTTTTTTTTGTGCATTGTAAAAAAGCCTCTCAAACTTTGAAATGCTACTATGTCTAAAATATTACTTTTTGCTACTGGGACATAACAATCAGGATAATCCCAATATATAAAAATATACAGAAATAAAAGTGTAAAAAACTAAATGTTTTTGTTTGTTTGTTTGTTTTGTTTCATTTTGGTTGTTTTAATTGCACTGGGGGGAAAAAAATGAGAAAAATATGTGTCTTTACAGTGAGTGGACTTGCATCTCTTCAAACCTGAGGGCCGCCTCCCACTTGTTTTCATGGAATATTATTCCTTTAGCTATAATCTGCCACAGTGTGGCATTAAACCTTCTACTTTCATGGAGAGTGTTCCAAGGTTCTATTTCCATGTTCCTATAGAAAGTTGCATACTGCAACTTAAAGTAACTATTTCAATCTTCAACATTTTGTCTTTCATTTTTGCCAGTTTAGTTTGCCATGCACATCAAAAACAAATCAGATGCAAATATTTACATGACACTTCAATGATCTGATTACTCCAGAAATCTTATAATAACCAGATTTTGGTCTGTATATGATCATGTTATAGCATCCTAACACTTGCCAATGGTGTATACATAGAAAAGCATTCACATATTTCACACACACCTACTTTGACTGAGTGGGTTAGGAACTTCCCATCAACGACCGGAAGAAATGGAAAACTGAGGAAGGAGTTGCTAGGCACCTCAAGCTGCTTATTTACGATGTCCTCCACTTTGACCTTCTGAAGACAAAGTTCCATCTGGACTCTAGGGGTCAGTGGACATCCAAGCAACTGGACCAGACTTTGGGACCTTGACAAAATGACATCGACAAATAAGTAAGACAGAATGAGTAACAACTAGCAACAACAATGATTGAAGTAGTAGTGAGGAGTGAAAATAACAGACCCAAAATGACTGCGGTGAAAGATGGGTGTGAGTAACTGACAAAAAAAAATGCAAGATTATATCATATTAAAAAGGAGTATTGCACTTCTTTTCTGCTGTTACTTTTTTTTAAATAATTTTGAAAATGCTATATCCACTGAAAACAACGTATTGACATGTTTAATAAGTTTTTTGACGCTCTGATATATGTAAATGAGTAAATGTGAATAAAAAATACAGTATCTGTATGAATGTGTACAGGTGTGAACCACATATCATGTGTTCTTAATAAAGATTGAATTATGTTTCCTAAAATGCACTAATTTATTGGACACTTAAATGTTGTGGGTTGTGAAAAAAATAATAGTTTTGTATTATTAATATTTTACAACTTATTGGAATTTACTATGTATAGGAGTTGTAGAAATGTAAATTTCCTTTTTAAATGTCTTGACAAGATCTTAGTATGAATCATTATGGTCATAATAGAAAGAACTGAGATTTAAAAGTGCTTCTCAAGTCACAGGCCTCAAGTCCAAGTCAAGTCCCAAGACACTGACCTTCAAGTCCAAGTTGAGTCCCAAGTCTGAGTCCATTTTATCAAGTCAAGTCTCAAGTTCTAAAAACAGTGACTCAAGTCCAAGTCACAATTTGCAAGTCCCCACTTCTGAGACTAAGTATACGAGAAGATCTAAGTGAATGCTAAACCAGATTACCAGATTACTAAAACTATTGATCGCTTTCAGATTCTAAAATGTAATGATGTCTTACTATCAGATGGAGGCAAGCATCATTTCTCCCTACTAATTACACTGTATTCTGAAAAATATTCACAAATGTTGAAGCTAATTTCTTTTAGTGTTTGACTAAACTGTAGAATTCACTACATTATAAAATAAATCTGCATTTTCACAATATACATATTGTTGGGATGTCATCTGAAAGCCAGCAGTTCTAACATAGGCTGTACTGACATGTGTACTATACTATACTGTTATGTACCTCTTCCACGCTGTTTCCAGACTCACATGGGCCCAGGGACCAGTAGGGCTGCCACTTTGCATGATGGCTCTCTGAAACAGATCCTTGCTGCCCGGGGAGAGCAGCTGGTAGCCCACAGAAGCTGACCCAGCACTTTCCCCAAATATAGTCACCTGCACCCCAATCATACTCTCAGTACAAATGATTCTGTTTGTAAAAAGGACGAGATGCACTTTTATCTTGTGATTACGGTCGTGGCCTACCTTAAATGGGTCGCCCCCAAAAGCAGCGATGTTCTCAGAGACCCAGCGCAGGGCCAGCTGTTGGTCCATCAGGCCAGCGTTACCTTTGACAACGGGGTGATTGGGAAGAGAGAGGAATCCCAAGGCTCCCACTCTGAAAAATAATGATAAAACATTTAGAAAAACTGACATGTGTAAAGGCCGCAATGTAACAATAAAAACAAGGTTACTATGATTATAGTATGGGACATGGAAAGTTAGGCTACATTCAGACTGCAGGGCTTAATGCTCAATTCAGAATTTTTTGTGAAATCCAATTTTTTTGCGAGGTCGTTCAAATTTCCAATTAAATGCGACTTGTATGTGATCTCCAGTGTGAACTTTAAATGCCCCAAAAGTGTCCTGCATGCGCACTGGAGGACTTGACAATGTCACACACAGCGAGCATGCTCAGTGTTTACGGAAATAGCTGAAACATGGACGCAAGCATTGAGCACCTGGTGATTTTAAAGTTCCTGTCGTACCGGAGCCAGAACATGTTCAACTTATTTGTTTTAAGGAGATTGAGAAGGAGAAGGATGAGGTTCTTGGCCATGGTGTTTTGTGGGGCAGTGGTAGCAACGTCTGTAGAAAGAAACATGTGGGTGCGGAGGGGGGTGGGATTGCTAAGTGCTTCGCTACATCATTGACACGGAGTTCAGACACAATTTCCATATGATGAGAAGAACATTTATGTACATTTGTGACATGTAGGTTGGATGAATGCGACCTGGGTGTTCAGACTGAAATCACATTTCAAAAGATCGGATATGTATTGGTTTTAGGAGAACATATCAAAGTGGCCTGGGTCGCATTTGAAAAAAAATTGATCTGTGCCGTTCAGACTGTCATTAAAAGATCAGCTACAGGATTTGGGTTACTTCAGGCTGCAGTCTGAACGCCTGATACACACTGTCATTGCACTCTTTGCCAGCCTACTCTCTGTTTTATTGACCATTATTTAATTGGACTATTGTATGGCGCTTCAGGGGAAACCTGCACAGATATAGGCAGAACATGCAAACCCACACAGCATGGCCCCATGGTGCCTGGGAAGCCAGGACCTTCTAACTGTGAGGCTGCTTACTGTAAACACTAACTGCCCCACAGCCTTGTCACTTGCATAATGATTATGATTTATAGACATAGCATCATTAGCACCAATGATAGCCTGTCACCCTGTAGAATTTCCTCCCATCAAAAGAATATTTTGATTTCAAACTAAGTCGAATAGCGATCAAACACACTGCCTTTGACAATTAAATATGAACTATTATTCAGGTACACTTTATGTCCACTTCAACAGCTCACTGACACTGTCTCTAAAGCTATGTGCTGTGAGCATCTACACTTCACTGTGATTGGTTAAATTCACCTGTCACTCATGGAAGAGCTGACCGGGAAAACTCCATCTAAGAAAATCACAGAATCCTGATCCAGAAATCTCTCCAGGTCACATTTTATTTATCACAATTGAACTTAATATTGTCATGTTACCAGCACTAACCACTCTGTACTCACTCTGCTACATCCTTCTAGCATTTTCACAATATACAGTTTCTTCTGCCACTACAAATCCTTGATACATCGTAAATTCATCAGTCAAGCCCTGACCTGTAATTCATGGACACCACAACCACATTTTCAGAGGTGCTCAGGTACTGTCCGTTGTAGAGTTGAAGAGAGGAGGTTCCCGATGTGAACCCCCCTCCATAGATCCACACCATCACGGGGGCCAGGGGCTGGGGCTGGGATGTGTTCACATGGGGGGCCCACACATTTAGGTACAGGCAGTCTTCACTGACAGGGGTGTTTGGGTTCCACATCTCCGAACCATGGAAACCTAGAAGAAAAGTAGAATGATCAATACTTATCTACATATCTACTATTATTTATACCTACTAATACTCATCATGATATGGATGTTTATCTTTGTATAACCAAAATTCCCATCTCCCACCTGCCATCGACCTCTTCTATCAACCTGGTTTAGAACTGGTTTGTCCTTATTTAGATCTTAGTTTAGTCCCGGTTTAGACCAGGTTTAGATCTGATTTACACCCAGTTAAGTCATTGTTTAGTCCTGATTTAGAACTGGTTTAGTTCTTGTTAATTCATGATTTAGTCCTAGTTTATAACTGTTTAGTCCTTCTTTAGACCTAGTTTAGACCTGGTTTAGACCTAGTTTAGACCTAGTTTGGACCTGGTTTAGACCAGGTTTAGATCTGATTTAAACCCGGTTAAGTCATCATTTAGTAATGGTTTAGAACTGGTTTAATCCTTGTTAAGTCATAGTTTAGCCCTGGTTTATAACTGTTTAGGCCTTATTTAGACCTAGTGTAGCTAAGCTAGGTCTAAACCTAGTTCAGTCCTGGTTTAGACCAGGTTTAGATCTGACTTACACCCGGTTCAATCATCGTTTAGTCCTGGTTTAGAACTGGTTTAGACCTGAGTTATACCAGGTTTAGGCAAGACTTTGACCATGGTTCAGACCTTGTTTAGTCCTTACTTTCCACACTTGGTTTAGAACTGGTTTAATGAGACCAACCCAACCATTTGGTCAATATTTGTAAGAGTCTGCAAAACATTTACTTACAGTCTTTACTTACTGTAACACATTAACACATTTAGTGGCTACTTTAAACTTGTTTTTCCCTCAGTTAAGTTAGGGTGACCATATTTCCGTTTGTAAAAACCTGGACACCCGGGGGGGGGTCTCACAGTTTCGCTGATTTTTAATTTTTTTTTTTTTTTACAGCGTATGAACGCGTATTGTGTATTACAGGCGGGTAGTATTACACACGTGTGAGTCAGGAGTAAACCAGGTCTAAACCAGGATTAATCTTGGACTTAAGAGAGAAAACGCCGAGCAGTTTGTCCGCAAAGCGCGATCAGGCAATTGCCACGTTTACCTCCGTGAGGTACGGAGCTGAGCTGGTCCTTTCTCCTGTGGTCACCCCCAAGCCCGTGTTTCAGTTCTGGTTTAGTCCTGTTTTAGTCCTAGTTCAGTCGTGGATTAGTCCTCCTCTTCAGTCCTGGAATCAGTCCTGGGTTAGTGCTGGTTTAGTCTTGGTTGTAGTCCTGTACTGCGTGGGTGCGGTGTTGTACTGGGGTCTCCAAAAACTGACCCGTGCAGTTCTCTGTGCTGTAGGTTCCATTACGGAATAAATTAATCTTCAGTTCGTTACATAAAGAAGGAGGCAAATAACAAAAGGACGACAGCAGAAATAAGTTTTAAGAAGGATGTAAAAAGGGTTGCACCTGTCCTGTCTGAGAAAAGTGTATAAAGTTTGTGCTGAGGGGTTTTACAGCCTTACAACAGATAGAATAATTGTAAAATATAAAGTTGACTACTTCGTGGATTTCACCTATCGCGGGTTATTTTTAGAACGTAACCCCCGCGATAAATGAGGGGACACTGTACTCTCACCTCGCAACCTGTACACATGGCCTCCCACTTGTTCCGACCGGGATGAAAAATGGAGAATTTCTTGTACAAGTCATTGTTAAATGTGCTTTTGCGCTTTGGTATCTTGCAGGCTGACCGACTGTTTGTGTCTGCTCCTTCTGAGTCACAGAGAACTATGAGAGACGCTCAGTTTAATGAACGGTACTGAAAACCCGTACATTTGCATCACTTTATAAAAAAAAACAAAAAACGCCCAGGACAGGACGCAAAATACGGACATGTCCGGGGAAAAACGGACGTTTGGTCACCCTAGTTAAGTGTACTTTTGAGTTACTTTTTGCACCTCTGCAGAATGAACAGGAAATAATAATAATACTTGTCACAACTGTTTGTCTGTCTGTTTAGTCTCTCCCATTTAAAAACATTGCCTTTATGTGTGTCTATAATTAAAGTAGACAAGCTATTTCTATTAGTGTTAAGTAAAGTTCAACTTGTTCTTATTTATTTTTCATTGTAAGCAGATGTGTGGCTATTTTTAGAAACGCTCATGAATCATTGAAATAGACAGAACATAAATATATACATGGGTAAATCCCTGCACACTGTTCTTAAGGACATTGCTCTAATCCTCTGTATCTATTTGTGTGTCGTATCTAAATTTGGAAGTCATGCGGACATTTTTCATCGACGCACACGGGCCAGGACAGACTGTAGTAAGCTTCCAGCAAACCATGACAGGTGGCTGAGCTATAAATAGGGACGTATCCATTACTCCCTCCTCAGTGTTTGAATAACATCATATGAACATTTGGGAAGACTGGCCCCAATATGAAAGCAGAGTGTAAGAAATACATGTATACGATGTACTAAGTCAGATAAGTCCATAGGGTTGTCAAACGTATAAAAGTGGGTGCTAAAACTAGTATTGTAAATGGATTCTAATTTGAGGTATTGATACTAAAGAAGCCATATTCACAGGACAGAAATTAATATTGTTCTTGTCACCATATCAGCTGTCAGTCTGAGATCTCAAGCAGAGGCCTTTATTTTGTTTTGGCCAACCTGCTACCTTAAAAGTAGCCAGGCTGGCGCCACCTAGTGCCTCTGCTCAATTTCATTTCTCTCCAGCGACAAGGTCAAGAATCGGAATACATTAGACGGTTCGCAAAAACCCCAGAAGTACGACTTCAGGCACCAGCCAATCAGAGAAGAGCCATATATTCTGTGTTGTCAACGATTCCTGAGATCGAGGATTTAAAGCTGGAATAAAGAGAATGGTGAATTTTATCAAGTGGAAAGACATGATTGACTTTCTTCCTGTGGGATTTGGGAAAAGCTTAATATACCAGTTAGCCCCGTTAGCAGAGCATTACATACGTCACGACCAAATAGCAGCGATTGGTTAAATTGAAACCGTTGAGCGAACGAATTCTAACGCTGTGAGGTCAGACCGTTTCTACAAAGTGAAACCGGCTGATGAATCAGGCTACTATCAAGCTTCATTTATACATTTTAAAGGGCCCATATTACACTGTCTTCTGATCTTTGTAATAATGTTGTTTCCTCATCGCAAACATAAATTGAAATTGTGGAATTGTCTTTTGTTTCATTCACACATATTTAACACACAAATGCTGCTTGGTGACACAGGAAGTGCTGCCCTGTGTTTTTAAACTTCCTAAACCATCACTAGAATTATTTGGATAATTTCAGCCCTGATATTGCCAATCTCTACTAAAAAGAACATGAAAACTATAGCTTCATGACATCACAAGGTGGAATAGAGCATTTTGAACTTTGGGGATGTAGACAAAGTAATACTAAAATGTTACTCCAACATGTGTGAATGAAACAAAACACAACTCCAGGTCTGTTTTTGATGATGCGGCAACATTCTGACATGGCTTAAATTTCAAATTTTTTTCCCTAAAATAGGACCTTTAATTCAAAGAGGTAACTGTACAAAACATGACTACACAGCTCTCCTAAAAGGGCTGTGGGTGAGTTTGTAGTAAATTTAAAGTATCGGTATGCAGTATTGAGTATTCCTCGAAACTCAAAATCAAGTTTACATTTTTTGGTCAGAAGTTAAAACAAGTTGTAAAATATACATGCACACTCTTAAATGTGTACACAGCTACAGTTTGTGCTTGCATGCAATACCAACATTATGTTTTGTCATAGTTTATCACTAGATATTTCTGTCAACTAAACAAAAATGATGAATTGAACAAATGGTGTAAGATCTTATCGGCACTGCAAAACAACAACAACAACAACAACAACTATCTGGTCAACAATACTAATATACATGACATATCCTGAACTGACACAGGACTATAAGGGTACCCACTGGTCCTGCTTTAGTCCTGGTTTGACCCATGTTTAGTCCAGACATCCAGACTTGGTTTGGTCCAGTTCTAGTTTAGGGTGAGTCCCAGATGTGTGCGATGTGTGATGTGTGTGTGAAGGCAGCTTAAATTAATTATCAGAAAAAAAATAAAAAATAAATCATACATAAAAGCACATATTGCTCAAGACTCTAGAGCAATTTCTAGAATCTCTAGAGTCTAGAGATTCAACCAACTATTCTTTTGGGGCATTTAACAAAACATAAATACTACTACCACTACCACCACTATTACTACTACGACTACTGCTACTACTAGTGACTTTGCATCATGGCTCTCTGAAAAAGATCCTTGCATGACATTTCCTGAACTGACACTGACACTAGGGTACTATAAGGGTACACACTTGTCCTGGTTTAGTCCTGGTTTGACCCATGTTTAGCACATGTGAAGGCACATTAAAATAATAATAATAATAATAATAATAATAATAATAATAATAATAATAATAATAATAATAATAATAATAATAATAATAATAATCTTACTTACACAAAATTAAAATAAACTTCAAAACTAAAAAAATACAACTAATGATACCATATGCTAAGACCATATAGAGCTTATGTGACAGGAGCAGTGAGCATGGTAATTGTAATCCGCTCTTGCACAGACTTCCTCACTGAGTGCCCCTGGCCCCTGAGGTTGACCTTCCCTCAGACATGGACATACATGGACTCTGCTGTACACTGGCACTCTCGGGGCCAATCAAGTGTGACAGAAGCACAAAATCAGATTAAAATTCTTCTAGATGTGATCTAAGTTATAAATGTTCCATGTGTAAAGGGCCCACCTAGCTGTTTTACGCGCAAGGATGAAAATAATAAATACTAGACTTTCAGTGATGGGTAGAGTAGCTAAAAATTGTAAAAGCACAAAGTAGTGATCCAAGAGCAGCACTCCAACTTAAAGAATAGATTGAATGTAATGTGAAGGACAAAACATCCAGTAATGCACACAATCTGGTATTTCAGAGAAAAGACACACACACACACACAACATTTTACGAACTAAATCATAGCTGAAGGAGCAATCTGAAGGTGCAAGAAACACAAATTTTCAAATCATTTCATGTTTTCTTCCAGGGGAATGATACCTGTGCTAAATATTTCTTTATTATGATTTAACTAAATAGCCAAGTAAAATATCTCTACATATGCCTCATGCCCCATATACTGCCCGTGTCTAACCAGGAATATGCATTTTTACGTATTTTGATTAACCCTTTTTAACTACTTTTCATTTATTGTTATGACTATGATCTTGGTCACATGATCATAGTTAATAGTCACTTTTTTATAAACAGCTTTTCCACCTTCAAGGCTCTCAAAGAGTTTCACAACAAGGAACCACTCACCCATTCACACACACTCATACATGTATGCAGACACTAGGGGCAAGGTGGGTTAAGTGTCTTGCCCAAGTACACAACGATAGCAGGTGTGGGAGCTGGAATCACACGGCCAACCTGTGGGTCAGTGGATCTGAGCGCTCAAGCAATGATGTTTATGTCGAGAAAGGGATATGAACCACCAACCTTCGGATCAGTGGACAAACCCTCGACCAACAAGAAAAAGCTGTGTGATTGTCTAATAATTTTACATTGAGGGCCTGTTTACATGAGAACATTTGTGGGTAAAAACTACAAAATATTTTATCGGAAGTGCCTTTCAGTAAGACGGAGACGGTGTTTTTGGGGCTTAAAAATGCAAAAATATGAAACCACCCTCCAGATTAGATTTCCGTCTACAACGCCCAAAACGCAAAACTCTGGTCAGATCTGCTCACTTCCTGCACGTGTTCGTTTACGTCACATACATCATCACCTAGCATCACCACCTAGCTGCCTGGCATGCATACCCAATCCAATTCCACACACTTTTGCGTCACCGTATGCATGCTGATTTCCTCCCGAAAACGCTCGTCTAAACACGGAATAAAAAGCGAAGATTATTGCTGCCGCTATTGCTGCTTTTGTTCAGACCGTCATCATATGAACGTAACCTGAGAAGTTCAAATCCTACACTCCATAACTATTGTTGTTGTTCCCTTGAGCAAGACACACCACACATTATGGATCATGCTTACATTTTACAGCTCTACTAATCATTACTCATAGGTAAACCTACCTGGGAAGGAAGTGTCTGGAAGTTGGTAGCATGTATTTGAATATGAGAAGGCATTATAGTCCTTCGTCCATTTCTCTGCAGGCTGAGGAGGCTTGAATCTCAGAGGACCTATGGGTGGTTTTGCATATGGTATTCCTAAAAACGTTCGGACATAAACATTCCCGCCCTGTGCAGGGTTCAATTGTAGTCGTCCTTGCACTACTCCATTCTTGGTCTGGATTCTAAATAAGTCTGTACTGGACAAAGATGTGCTCAGAGAGGACAGGAGCAAAAGGAACAGGGCAGTGAGGTGGCACAGTGGAGATGCCATGGACAAGCCTGGAAAAGCATCAAAGAAATACTGTTAGTGACAGTTAAGTTTCTCAAAAGTTTCAAAAATCAGACATTGATCAATACCAAAACTAGTCTCGAAACTAGATACTAGATGTAGTGATATCCAAATCTCTGTCCGATAGTCTCACGATATGCATCTCACAGTACGATATTTAATTCTAGATAGGACGCATTTTTGCTTTTAAAATTCCTTGACAAGATTTTAAATTATTACTGTCATAATCCCAAGAATTCAAGTTAAAAAACATATTTCTTCATATTGTCTGCACTGAAATGTATCATGGGACACGTAGTTCCCTATGTTTATAAGATGTTGCTACTAAAGAACAATGCATTTAAGCAAAGGAATTTATAATTTGATATACTGTGACAGCTCTCGATATTATTTTGAGACTTCTGATGATACAATATTATGATATTTCAGTTATTGTTACATCCCTAATACTTACTGGATCAGGTATTGATGCAAAAAAAGTTGCATTCACAGGACAGAAATGAACCTTTCCTGATTCGATTTAGAATGATTTTAAGCGGTATCCGAATAGGTAGGTTCCATAGTGGTCCATGGGAATAGTCTATGTGGTCTTACACTTGGACGACTGAGGGACAGATATATATTTTATTGTCTTTAGTATCATGCTTGATTAAAACTATTATGTATCTTTATGTATCTGGCCCATGATTATGATTATGATTATGATTTATAATTTATAATTTCAAGCAAAGGATAAATACAAAAACAAGACCAAATTTTATCAGAAGGGGTGGTGCAAGAAACGCAAAATCATTCAGATCATTTAATATTGTCAACATAAAACTTTTACATTAGTGGTTAGTCACTGGAACTTCTTCTACTGTTATTTCACTATAAATATAACCCAAGTAGTAGAAAAAGTGTGCTGCTAGTAAAGTACTCTGAAAAGTACTGTTTAAAGGGATATTCAAGTAAATGTAAACCGAGTACTACCTACCTCTGGCAAAATTTGCTTTGTGCACCATGCAGACACTTGTGTAGTATCAGATATCAGTGGTACCTTTAACTCCGTTTGAGAAGCACCTTTGTAGAAGCGAAAATGTGTGTAGTGCAAGTGAAATCACCTCACTGTTTATAGCCTAGTCTAACGTGTGCAACTAAACGTGCTGTTTTTATGTATTTAAATTCATGATTTCTTGGGCCTGCACGATACACCTGTTCAACAGTTTACACTATATAGCCAGCTCACTAAACTAAGTAGTAACAGCGAAATGTGCGCAATTAGTAGCGCTAACCAGATGTATTGTTTTGTAGCGTGTAGCAACAGCACTGTACCCAGCGCAGTTAAAGGACCACAGCACCGCCATCCATCCACGGGACAGACAGTGGGGGATGCCTGGGAGGAACTAAGCCGCATTACAAGCTGCTAATAGCTGCCAAAACCAACATTTCTCCCACATTTAAGCCGTGCGTAACGACGTAATCCACGCAACTTTACGCCTCGTCCAGTAAACCCACTTAGCACAGCTGCATACAGTACAGTGCGCGCGAAAACGAACCAAAGCGCACGGCAAAACTAGAGTCGTTCTGTCAAACAAATGAGAAAAACACAGTGACGTCTTACCTCGCCAGTTCGCAGGAGTTGTGCGTCTGTTTGAGGAGCGCTGAATGGAGAGAGTCTATATAGTAGCACGGACGGGATGGAATAGGCGTGGACTCCCCGTGTTGCCTCTCGCAGCTGGGCTTGCCCCCTCTCTACCCCTCCAGCGGCTCTGTGCGCCAGTCAGGCCAGCGCACTGTCCTCGTGTAACACATTACCTTTGGGGTGTCATAAAAATCAGGTCGTGGAAAACAGCGACAGTAGTTATCTGCAACGCAAGGCCCACTGACGCCAGTTTTAAACGTGGTGGAGTATAAAGTGTATAAACGGGTGAAGAATACAAATAAATAAAGTACTAGATTCAGAAGTTAGAATTATATGACATTTTTTTTCAGTCATGAAAATACGGACATAGAGCAGTACGCTGGCAAACATGTTTATCTCACCTTAACCAACATAAGACCAACCCAGTTTTATGACATTAATAAATCAAAATGTTGTTTAAATTGATGGCCTATGGACTCTCATATGACTAAAATAAAAATATGAGCATGGCAGTGTGAGGAGCACAGTCTAAAGTCACTCTTGTATATGATGAAACAAATGCGTTTGAAATGTAAATACTGATTGGTATTGATCAAACATTAGTTCAGTTTTATTCACGTTATTGGCACATGTTAATGACAGTGAGCATTGAGTGACTCATTTTACCTTCAAGAATACCACAAGATTCTTCAGTTGACCAAATTCCTCAATAGTCCAGGCATGAAGCTCAGGCTGCTCGGCTAACACTCACTCTGCCACAGGTATTGAGCCAATTGCCTGTTTATAATATAGGTGTTACTATATCCCAAACTTCCCAGGGTGAGCCCAAACAAAAGCATTGATACTGAGCAAACAGAGACAGTGACACTACATTCCCATACAGTGGCACATTAACATATCAAACACACCTGCTTCTCTGCCCACAGGAGCATCTGTAGTGCAAACTGACCTGGGGTCAGACTCACACGCTCTCGTTCATGTTTGTGCCACTCAAAAGGGAGAGACATATACAGTATGTGGACTTCTGAGGCATCAGGAGCACACTGTGTGTAAACCTCAACCACAAATACATTATTTATGAATTTATATTTCAAAACTAAATACTTGAAGTCTAATAGAGTTATAGTGTCGCCATGACTTTGTTATCCACAACTACAACTACTACTGTTAATCTTAGGTCTAAGGTGGTGCTTCTCGCAAGGCTCCATCAAGGGGGGCGCGTTTGACCTCGGGGAACATGCTTTTTTATTTTTTTATTTTTATTTTTTTTTTACTGTCCTAGAATAAAGTGCAATTGCACTTCCACTACATTAGGGGGCAGTGCACTCTCATTGGCAGAGTGTGCGCAGGGAGCATTCGCTCGGTGGTGTAGGAGTTTTGTTTGCACTGAGCATGCGCGCTTTGCACACAGCACAGAGTTTGAGTATGAAGTGTAGACACGAAGTGTAGCAGACCCTCAAGTGACACCATGAAAAAATATTTAACAGGGATGAGAAGACAGACGGAGAGAGACGGTTAAAAAGAGACAAACGAAAATCTCCCGAAAGCTAAGACGAGGAAATATGACGAAGCGTATGTAGCGCTTGACTTCACTGTGACTACGGTGGGAGACGAGGAAAGACCGGTGTGCTTACTGCGTCTAAAAATGTTGGCAGCGGACAGCATGAAGCCCAATAAATTAAGGCGTCACTTAAATACATTACACCCCAATCACTCCGATAAGCCGCTTGAGTTTTTTCAGCGAAAACGTGCCGAATATTGCCGACAATCATCCCGCTTTGTGACTGCTACTTCAGTAAACCAGCGAAGCGTTGTTGGCATCATATAACATATAACAATTTTATAGACAAATGATACTATTTATAGTCACGCGGGGGGGCGCGAGATGTTTTATTCTTCCTAGGGGGGGGCATGACAGAAAATAATTGAGGAGCACTGGTCTAAGGTATCCAAGTATACTTTTCTTTCTGATCTTCTATGTTTAATAGTGAAACCCATCATTATGGATCGATATGCCATTGATTGTGAATGAAGTAAATGACCTTTAAACACTGTGCTGTTTGTGTCCAGTCTATAGAACCATTTGGCACAACATCTAACATCTCATCATTAATAGAATGAAAGCACAGTGCTGTTTACAGTATGATCTATGTGACAGCATTCACTTTCCATTCACTAAATTTTTACAAACATTATGTTTGTAAAAATGTTTGGTCATAGGCCAGTAGTAAGTGTGAGAATAAATAGAGTTTAACTCTAGTGAATGGAATGGATCAGATGTCTTGCAGTGCTTCACAGGTGTTTAAATTGCCTTAATGTGGAACTGTTAGCTAGCTCATTCATTTGATATTTTTAGATGTACAGTATAAACAGATTTAGCTTGGTAACATGAAGACAGGCATCCCAAAAGCACATCCCACTGTATTCTGGGAGTGCCTGGATAAACTGCACACCCAGTTGTTTCCAACACACTAAGCATGTCTATCTAGAGTATTATGTTCAGGGTGCGGTTCAGCTTTGATTTTTCTATGTTTATGTGCCCAGGAGCCCCAATCCTGTGCAGTGATGATAGTTCTAACAGCTCTGAAAGATCCATCAAATGCAGTGGTAAAACTATAGTCAACATATTCTCAAATATTGTGTGGTTGTAATCACATGACATCACAACATTGTAGAATCCATTTACTTAAAGTGTAGATGACAGGTACAATTTTTACAGGTACAGTTTTTACCTCCTCAGCCACTCCTCTCTACGTGGAGGAGCAGTGGCACTACTCCGAGCTCTTCCTGTGTGACAGAGCTTCTCACCCTATCTCTAAGAGAGTGCCCAGTCACTCTACAGAGGAAACTCATTTTGTATCCACTGTTTTGTCCTTTCGGTCATTATCATTACCCAAAGCTCATAGGTGATGGTAGGAATATAGACTGACCGGTAAATCAAAAGAATTTATGAACAAATGTGAAATCATGATTTTCACTCCATTTTCAACAAGTCATTTGTCAGATGGGCATTAAGCCATAAGGATTATATAACAATTTTGTGGTGCCAGTCCCTACAAATAATGATAAGGCTCATCATTAGTGGATCATAAGCATGGCTATTTGAAATGACTTCATGAAATTGTTGAATCTACTGCAGGTTTATCTGGGGTCAGTAGTTTTGAGATGTTTACATGAGGAGGATTGCTGTCTACCCACCTGTATTTCATTACACGCCTGTGGGAGGTCGTCACCAGGAAACTAATTGTGTTTGATACCAACTCACAACATCAATGTGTGTTTCAGAAAGGTCAGATGAGCTCCATTAGCAAACATGGTCTCTTTGTCTGAGTTCAATTTAAAGATCTGGATCAGAGAAGGATCTGAACTGGAGCTACTAAAACCGATCAGAATGTTAGTGTTGGCAACAAAAATTACTTGTAGATCATAATATTTACTGTGTATTCTTTGATCCCACCATTTGGTCATAATAGGACAGACCAGTGTGAAATGAAACTTTTAAACATGCCTTTGGTCACCTAGGGATAAGTATTTCACACTTTCTAACTTAAAAATAATTACATTTGGAAAACATACTTCTGTGTCCAATATGGAATTTGGGTGTTGGAGCTGGAAAAAATAAACTAGAAAAAAACTAGTCCTTTATCCTCTATGAATGCTATACTAAAATAGTCATGCATTAGTTGTGAACACAGTTTGTAGAATGAATCTGGTGATGGTTTATGGGATTAAAAACTGTGTGGGCTAGAGTTTTAGCTATGATGAAAAAAAAAAAAAAAAGGCAAAATGTGAACTACGTATTTTTGAGTGCTCAGAGAAAAAGACAACTTAGCACTTTTGGATTAATCAAATATTAATTAAAAAATAAGGTATGTTTTTTTTTTTTATATCTCACGTCGGGAGAAGAATTTCCAAGACACAAATGTGTTTTTACCTGTGCGCTGCTGGCTCTGTTCTATTGGCTCTTCGACCTCGTCCATTGTGTGACTGACGCCGCCAACGTTAACATGACGTTTACATCGCTCTCATTGCCACGTTCTGTTTGGGTTTCCGGCAATTAGTGGAATTACCGAAATAAAAAAATAAATAAATGGGATGTAGCACAAAATATGAAAACAGGAAAATACCGCCTTGTAATCCACTTACTTCAGCAAAGTTACTGTAATCCAATTACCACTCAATGAAATAGTAACTGTAACCGAATACAGTTATTCATAATTTGTACTCTGATTACGTAACGGCGGTACATGTAATCCGTTACTCCCCAACACTGACTAGGGGTGTGCAAAAATATCAAAATATCAATATATCATATCGCCTGTGATGATACAGCATCAATATCGTGGGCTGCTGTGTCAATATATTGCCAAAAGTATTTTTTGAGAGATTTTACTGAATTATTTTGTTACAGTACTACAGTTTTGTTGCTTGTTTAGAGGAAGGAAACTCTTTATATGCAACACATTTGACATTTTCACTGTTTTGATGATTAAAATGTGTGGGTTTCATGTTAACTTTGAACAAGAAATGGTTTAACAAAGACTTTTAGTATCGCAGCCATGATTTTGTCATATCTGTTAAAGCATTTTGAGCTTTGGAGACATACACAGGCTATTAATAAAGGGTTACTCAGACATATGTGAATGAAACAAAACACAACTTCAGGTATGATTTTAATGGTGTAACAACAGGGGCGGACTGGCAATCTGTGTGTTCTGTTCTGGAAAAGTTCAGAACAGCCATCCCTAATTGTGAGCAAATTGCAACCTCTGGTCCCCCAATCCCCCACCCCCCACCCCCGGTCCCCAAAATAACCCATGGTAGGCTCCCAGTCCATCCCTGCTCACAAGAGTCAAATTTTGCTGTCTGACCAAAATGGTTTGTCCGCACAAAGTTTCAGCATCACCTTTCCAAAACCTTCCATTGCGTTTATCCAGAATTTCCTCCTCCATGTTTGATTGATTGATAGATTTTTTTGAATTTTTATTCTGAGTTTGTGCCA